GCACGACATTGTCGGCATGTCGAGGGCAGAATCACACGCATCAGAAGCGATCAACTGGTAAGAGAGTTCGGTCACCGTCGTCATCCCAAGCATAACCCTCCATATTCCCCAGACGCATGACAAAAGTCTGGGAGTCCATTTCATCCATCTTCACTGCTCCTACTCAGTCATCTCGTGACAGTGGGGCGTAATCTGCTGTTTTGTCAACCAAAATGTTCGTTGCGGGCCTCAGCCTTCCATACTTCCCTCTCCCTCCCCCCCCCTGCGTCGCACAAACAGAGTGGAGGCACTGACCGTAGCCCTTTTACCCTTTACCATCAGGTAGAAATCACGCTACTGCCTGAATATTTTGCTTGACAACGGGGTTGATGTTGACGACAAACGAACAAGACAGGAGAAAAGGAACTCTAGCCCGCGTAATACAGGTGGTCTCGTGCTGCATTCTAGGAGGGGTACTTGTCCTTGTGACCTATGAACACTAGCTCCGAATTAAATTTTCGGAGAGCCTCACGACCATTTAGCACAATCTTCGAACAGTTATTATAGCCAGATTATAGCATCAAGGACTCTTACTGAAATTTTACATGGCATCTGGAAGTTTGACGTTTGTGGGCCTCCCGAATGTGTGATCACTTGCTACTCTCTGTATTGTGTACTGAGTGTTCGGTGGTCTGTGAAATGTGCAGCAAATACAGCGTACATATACATTAAGTGCTTTTTTTAAGATATCCATTGTCCTGCATATTCCTCCAGCCTCCTTCTTAGACATATTGCCTCCAGCAGATAATAAGTGTTTTGACAGATTTTGAATAATTTTTTCGACCCAACTGTAAAAAAGTCGGCGACATCGGTGGGATTCGAACCCACGACAGTAAGGGGAAGGCTCAAGTGCAGCCAATGCTCTAGCCACCTGAGCTACTGGGCTCTACCGGGAGTCGTGGGTTTAATCCCATTTGAGTCAAGTTACACGCCCAGTCCACCGCAAACTATAGAATCCACCGACCCCTATGGTAACTCGTAAGGGAGGCGTGGCAGAGAATGTGCTAAAGGACAGGGTCAAACTAAGCCTACCCAAATGACGTAAGTAGGTATTTCATAGGAGTAAAGACTAGGTGCAGTCACATACCCGATCGTCACCCGAAAAACACCTGTGCATGCACCCGACGACAGTTCGATCGGCGTTGAGACGATGCCCTACCGTTTGCTCCATAGCATGGTGAGCCTAGCGACGGTGACTTGCGCGTAAGTTAGTTTAAAGTGATATTAGACTTGCTGAGGATCTGTTGCACCCTGTCCTCCTCCCCATCTTGATCCGGTGTCAAAACTGAGTCTAGAAGATGGGAGACGGGAGAGGGTACAGGTGGCTGACAGCGAAAACCCGAAACTAAACACACCACCACACCCCCTGGCGCACAAAGTGAAGTGGATCTGCTATCACATGAAATGGCAACCGAAATTCTTAAATGCGTTTCGTCTCGAAAAGACTGCTTAGGTAGGGTTGTAATATTAATTAGCGTGTAGCATGGTCCTAAAATATTTCAGTTAAGTCGTGATTTCGGCTTCCGAACGAGTTTTTCTCTGACCGTCTGAAAAGACTGCACTCCTTAACAAATGGCTACTTAAACAACATGCACTTTTCTCATTGGTTTCCACTTGCCTTATAAATTCGAATATGCGTCATGGAAAACTTGCACAATAATATTCGTTTTTTATTCATTCGGTTGCATATTACGTCTTCTTAAAATGTTATACTTAAATACAGAGTATGTTCCGGCTTTAAAAAAGTTTCTTACTATGGCATTTTTGAAGACCGTGAAATGTTTATTCACAAAATATCGTATCTCTAAATTTATTAGTGTTACTTGTAAAGTATATGGTATGGCTCAAGTTTACTGCAAAATTTATAAACCCCCCACAGTATCTTCTTAGAAGCGTATAGAAATGCGTTATTTTCTTTGTCCGGAAAATATGCAGCTTGTGGTTTGGGAGTCCGGATGCAAATTTAGCGGCAGGTCAGGTCCAACTTATTCGGAATTCAAAATGGGACAAGATCCTATTTCATAGCCGTACTTATTAGGGGTTAGGGATCAGAGTTAGGGGTTACGATTAAGATAGATAGATAGATAATTTTTTTATTAAAGACCTGTCGGGGTCCCATCAAATGTCAAGGTCAAGCCGCTGGTTTTAAATTTGAAGATTAAGGGTTGGGGTTTGGGGTTATGGTCAGGGGTTAGAGAATGGAATGAGGAATTAGGCTGGGGCTTGCCTACTGCAGGGACGGCTACAAAATAAGATCTGACTTAAAAAGCTTAGGTCGGGGCTTAGCTTTAGGACTAGAATTAGGGTCAGGTTTAGGGGTTAGGGTTAGGCGTTAGTACTAGGAGTTAGAATTAGGTTTAGGGTTAGGGGTTATTGGTAACCCCCTTTTACCACCGGTCCCGTATTACAGGCGGCTGGAACTCGTCTACTGCAGGTGCGGCTACGAAATAAGACCTAATTATTTTTTAAATTGAGTTGTACTCTCCTTTCAAGTGTGAACCTTAAAGAAAACGTAATTTTCTGCCGAAATGGGTAGAAGAACGAATGTTTTGCGTATGTTTTCTATAAAATCCATCCAAATTTACAAATGTATCGGAAAGCAAGTAGAACGATTCACACTACATAAGCAGCCACTTTTACAGAGTATTTCTTGTAGATGGCTGGAATGAAACCTGTTCAAAGCCGGCTTCTTGATATGGCTGTCATACCCTGGGAATCTGCTGCAAGATCATTAATATTACAGTCCTACGTAAGTTATTTTTTCGAATCTAAAACACATTTGAGAATTTCGACTAACATTTCATGAGATAGCATACCTGCTCTATACTGACCATGAGTACACAAAACAGTTCGTGAAAATGACTTCTTTCCTGGCCTTGTTTAATTTCCGAGAAAATTAATGTGCGAACTTGGAGTAAATTCTTCGGATCAGACATTTTCGGGCACGGTTCGAAAGCTGATGCGAATACTTGAACTTAAATCCATTAGCTGCCGCGGAATAACCGCATAGTATTTACAACCTGCCAACAGCCAGTCAGTAGTATAAAATTGCGCAGTTATTTGCCATAGTGACAACACAGGTACTGCTAAAAGCCCAGACACGCGTGTTTCGCCGATCTTGTGCCGCTGTCTGGCGCAGCTGCGAGGGGTTTAGCTCATCAGTGGGTCCCCCAGCCCTCCCCTGACGGCGGATTTTCAGATTCTCAAGCGCTGGACTGAACACTTTAAAACGATCCTCAACAGCCCATCCACGATCTCCGATGCCGCCACCGATTGGCTGCCTCAAGTGGAAACGAACAACGACATGGACCTCGCCCTAAACTCCCAGAAACCATCTGAGACGTACGCCAACTCCCAAGCGGGGAAGCGCCGGAATCCGACGAAATTCCGACCGAAGTTTACGAGCACAACGACTCTAGGCTTATGGATCGCCTTAAGGCGCTCTTCTATGAGATGTAACGCAAAGGACGTATTCTTCCAAGACGCGCCAGTCGTCCATCCCTACAAACAAAAAGGAAACCGGTTAGTCTCTAATGGCCACAGAGGCACACATACACTCGCCGCTGCAATATCGACACACCTTGCACACCCAACAACGCTCCCATATCCAACCCCACCAACTTCCCATTCACCAGCTCGGCATAACAACCCCGACCGACGCAGTATCTCCCAACCTATCCTGTCCTCAGTGCCACCGCACATCCACACCACGCATCGGCCTAGAGGATCATTTGATAATATGCCGTACAGAGACTAGCAAACCGGTGCTTAGAGCACCAGCACACACACCTGTCATCATCGTCTCAACTGCCCGCATTGTCCTCGAATAGCCAGTCATCACATGGGTCTAATCGGTAAAATGTGCCTCCACGAAAATCAGCTAACTAGTCAATATTGCCACACATTTCTCCACCAGCATATATATCACACATAAATACTTCAACATCACACAACGCAGACACCTCTCGTGCCAGTGACAAGTGCATACTTCGACTCCTTCTCCATGTGACTCCCCTATCACATGTGAAATCTGAACAGTCGCCTCCCTGTGTGGAATCCTGGTGGGTGCGGATGGCAGCCAGGTCGTGTGTGTTTGGCATGCGCAGATAGCCTATTCTTAGCTCTGTCAGTCATCTCTCCCAATCTCAGAATCAGTTGGTTGATCGGCTCGGACAGTCGACTTGCGCACACACAGGGTAGAGCGAGTGAAGTCCATTCTCAGCCCACACTTCCTCATTATAAACAATCTGACGCACCTGAAAATATCACGGTATGCTAAACGCCGTGGCTTGAAAGGTTGGTAACTGACGATTCAACTCTGATCACGCTGTCAGTCCAAGGTGTGTTTGTGTGATGAGTCGCCTACTGATGTATTAAGAGTTAGGCTGCGATGGCTCCTTTTTATGGCACACTCACACACACGGCAGATGTTAGCCACCTACCCCCTTTTGTGTATAATTCATGTGTGTGTGTGTGTGTGTTTGGGGAGCCGGATGGCGTAGGTGGCGCGCGCAAACAAGTTGATTTTAGTTCTGTCGGTCACTGCAACCACTCCCCGCGTTAGACAGCTGATCGGCTTCGACAGTGGAATGGTGCCAGGGAGTGGGAAGGGAGGATACGATCGGCGGTCTCAGCGCATATTCCCCACTATAAGCAATCTGACACGCTTGAATCTATCCCGAGGGACTGAAATTCGTGGCCTAGGGGGTTGCTAACTGACAGGAATAATTCGATCCTCCTCGCAGAACGGAGCGTCGGGCTGCAATGTTTCCTTCTTACTGTGATCTTTATGGCACTCCCACTTAGTAGGGATCCGAGTTGCCTCCCTCTCCACTTTCTTGTTGTGTTAAGTTCTAGTCCTTTGCGTGTAAACCAGGAGGAGTGGTGATACACCTAGGTGCGGACTCACACCGCACCAGCAACCCACGTTCTATCCCGCCTCCAGTCTTCTTGCTTCTGTCTCAACACTGGGCCCAGGTGGGGAAGGATGAAACAGCGTCGTAGATGTTGCGCCAGCCTACTATCACTGTAAACGAATTTACGCGCAAGTCACCGTCTAAGCTTCCACCCTGGAGGACGTCGACGGAAACTACGGTCGAACTCTCACAATAGTAGCAATGGCAATAGTAGTAGTAGTAGTAGTAGTAGTAGTAGTAGTAGTAGTAGTAGTAGTAGTAGTAGTAGTAGTAGTAGTAGTAGTAGTAGTAGTAGTAGTAGTAGTAGTGGTAGTGGTAGTGGTAGTGGTAGTAGTAGTAGTAGTAGTAGTAGTAGTAGTAGTAGTAGTAGTAGTAGTAGTAGTAGTAGTAGTAGTAGTAGTAGTAGTAGTAGTAGTAGTAGTAGTAGTAGTAGTAGTAGTAGTAGTAGTAGTAGTAGTAGTAGTAGTAGTAGTAGTAGTAGTAGTAATCAACGCGTATTTCTGAACTTTGTCTAAGGAGAGGGCCTGGATAGAGGTAACAAGGGGTGTGAAATTGCAAAGTCTGCGGGCGTGCAAACCCAATAGAAAAAGCTGTCCCCACTGGATGAGAATTAACGATGGAGGAATCGATCTTCCCTTATTTTCTTATCAAGTACTGAAGTTATTTTGGTAGAACGGGACCAAGCACTAACCGGAGCGTGTAGAAGGTGACGAACAGGTCTTTGCCGACCGGTTAATCCACCTACTATAATCCTCTGAGGCTGACCTTTGTATGAGACTGAAGTAGAGTCTGTAAGTTTCGCCAAGAAGTAAAATAAATGAACAATGCTCCGTAGCTGATCGTTAAATCCATTGACTGACCGACAAACAGCGGAGATAACCGCGGTCTCTCTGAGGGCGAGATGAGTTAGGCAGGGTCAAATGCACGATTGTCGTTGATGCGGAAAGCGAATCTGTAGGATTCAGCATCCAAGAAGAAATACAGCGGATCTGAAGCTAATATAAGGGTAGTGATCCCCTTGGACAAAGAGTGATTCTACATAATCTTAACATTCCTAGATGGCTATTTCCATATAGTGATTATAGTCATGAAAGAGAGCATATGATTTCGGATAAAGTTGTTTTGGTAGGGTTGGACGACTACTTTAAACCCGCCCTTATGTCCACCCCAGCTGCAGCTGCCTCGGCTACATGCAGACTTCCACGTCACTGCTATAACCTGGCACAAACGTGGGCGAAACGTAGGCCTCACCACACTAGGAGCTTCTAACAGAAGCACTCCCCTGACATTTGGGACGAATGCGAGATGTGAGAAACCACGAGCGTGATGACGCACTATGCCATGCCCGTTTGGTGGTGCGTCCGTGTTCATGCTTGTCTCCTATTGGTTAGTGCAAGGGTCTATTTTTAGAGCCTATTGGCCGGCCGACGGACGCCGCGTGCATACGCACTGGCCAGACTAACGCAGAGCCGGTAGGCGTTGAGCTACAATCTCTTGGTCATTTTACTCCATTCACTAGTTGAAAGTCGTTTGGTTCACACACAGATGGCATCCACGGAGCAGGCGAGCATTCCGTGGAAGGAGGAGGCTCAACGACGGCGCATCGAAAATGAACGTGCGCGGGATGTGGAACGCAAGTGGGAGCACCTAATCAATACGGAAGGAGAGGGTGCGCCGGAGTGGATGCGCGAAACAGCGCTGAAGAAGAAGGCGGCGAGAGACAAGCTGACTGCCAGTGGTATACCCCCGTGGATGCAAGAAGTCCAGCGCAGAAATACCGGTCTAACCAAGAAAATGCACGAAGCCCAAGCAATCGGAGACATCAGTCCGTCGGAACGAGCTCCTCAGCCAGAACCAACGACGACGGCTGAGTACACAAAAGAAGAGGAGGGTGTAGAAGCCATCTCCTACACAGAGGCGCAAGAGCCAAATAGAGGCGAGGAGGACGAGGGGAATTAACCTTTGTGGGTGTGGAAATTCCTTGTAAACGTGAGTTCCGCCATCCCCGTGCCTACCATGGAAACAGGCAAACTGCTCCCGCTATCCCGTCCGCCTTTCATTGGACCATGATGTGAAATGCAACATCAACAAACATGCTCTCCCTCGCACACGGGTCTGCATTGTTGATTATTTTTGACCATTTTATTCTCTCTATCCTACACAATTTGCCATCATTATCTGGTTGCTCCCACAACTTCCATGACCCTTATTTTTTTAAATATATTTCTCTCAAGCACTATTGCCCAGGTGTTCGGTTGTTGGCCCACAAAATAGTGTCTTTGCCGGCGGACGCATGTGTGTTCGGAAGTTGGGCAGATTAAATGACAGTTTGACCGTCGTTTTCGACCTCCACCGTGTGCTACACAACAGGGTGGGAGCAGAGGCAGTGACTTGAGCACGAATTCGTTCACAGTGATGGTAGACTTACGCAACACCTAGCACACTTCCTTCTCCGCCCTCACCTGGGCGCGCTGTCAATGCAGAGTCAAGAAGACTGGAGGCGGGGTAGAACGCAGGCAGCTGGTACGATGTGAACCCACCCCCAGGCGTGCCTCCACACCCCTGATCCACGCACAACGGAGTAGGTCTTCACAGAAGAAACGGAGGGATGATTCGGGTCCCAACTGAGTATTTAGTCTGGGGCCGAAAACGCTGTACCAAATCCTCTAGGATTACTTGCAGGATTTTCCCTCTACGACTTGCTCTTCCCCTATCAGTGAAGTGGGGGTCTGTTCTGCTTTATGAAGGGATGGGTGAGTATCGTGGTCCTCAAAGATCAAACATCCGAGATTTGCCTTTATGTTGGTCGACAGAGGATATAGTGGCTCGAGCAGGAGTGACCAAGAAAGTGGAAAAGTTCCCACTAGACACGCTCGCGAGCTCCAGACTGGCCTTCACGCCAGAGATATTCGGTTCGCGCCTGTGATAGACCGACTCTTACACTGTGCCGAACAGAGGCGCCGCATGAACTGCTGTGGCGGGGAAGAAGCAGGTGTTTATCGCAAGGTCTTGATTTCCCGAGGACCAAGATCTCGGATTAGATGTTCGAACAGTCAGTGGACATCTACTTCGCATTGCTTAGCACTGAACACTTCCCAACCCTGGGTGCCAAGATCAAAGAGACGTTTGTGCCTTTCTGTATTTTTCTCCAGACTCAACAGTCCGGCTCACTTACTATTCGATGCACCAATGAAATTGATTTGCGGAGTTCGTTCGTTACTGGGCACATTGTCACAGGAATCACAGTAATATGTTCGTAAATCTACTTAAAGATTTTCGGTATAGGTCGGTACCTAACTCCCGCGGCTTCAAACCTAGCTGCAAGGCAGTTCATGCCCGTCGCGTCACAATGGCGTCTTCAGACTCAGACGGATTTTACACGGTGGCTGGTTTTCCACACCTCGCACCTCCGCATTCTGGCAGAAAAGCCAACGTTCGTCTGCGACTACTCATCTAACAGACTCCGGAGTCTATTTGTTTTGCAGCTAGTCTTCGTCGAGAGTCACCCTTCTTTCACCTACCCGCTGCTCAACTAACAGGGAAGGTACATATTCACGACCCAGCGTACTGTTATTTACATCGTTGTTAAGTAGGCTTGCAGAGCAACTCGTTCCATTCTGCTTGAAATTCGGATCAAATTTTTCCATGAAATCCAACATCGGTTGGATTTGTAAAAGTTGGACCTGAGAAGTTACCTAATCCTCTTGGCTGTTCTTGCCTCTAAAAGTACTAACACATACGCATTTGTCTGCCCAGGTCTACTATCTACGTCCACAGTTCATTTGGGCTTCGTTTATAATTGCTACGCTTTTAATGATCTTCCGACTGAAAAGGGCTTCTAATCATAGGTCCAAGCGGAGTAATTTCTGCATCTCGGAGTAATCAATAATTGAGAACATCTTTCAACCGACATGATGACTATGAAGCCTTATGCGCCAGAGGTGAGTAACTGTTCAGAGTGGGTCCATAACTGACGAGTGTTATTGCTGCTGCTGCCGCCACTACAACTACTACTGTCAGTAGAAGTGTCAGTAGCGTAGACAGGACTTCTATTGCTGCAATCACGAATCCTCTACGAACAGCACTACTACGAATCATATTGGCCGCTTACTACCACCCTTACTGCAACTCTCATTCCCAACACTACCGTTGCTACAATTATTATTGCCACTACGACCATTGCCACTCCCCCGCCTACACTACTAATACTATTACTAGTAGTGCTTCGCTGGGAAGGCGACTTTCACCCGGGGTGCAAGCTGCCAATTAGGCAGGCTGCTGGCTCTGGCAAATAAGTAGTTGTGAACCAGCAGCGACAGTACTGTCGAGGTGCAGAGGACTGAGGTCTGCCGTTAGCCACGCCGCCTGCTTTGAGGCATAACTCGCGGCCCGATAACTGCGCCGTGAGATGGTGACTGAAACTCATCGTTAGATCCCACTCCGTGGGATCCGAGTCGCCCCTCCCCCTTTTCCCCTGCTGTATGCACAATCCTGTTCAGTGTACGTGGTCAACCAGTGGGTATGGCGGTACGCCTAGGTGCGTACTTTTTTTATCGTGCCAGGCACCTGCGCCCTCTCCCGCCTACGGTCTTATTAACTCTGTCTTGACACCAGGTACGGGCGCGGTGGGGAAGAGAGCGTGGTAGATGCTGCGCAAGTTTAGTAACACGTGCATGTCACCGTCCCTGCTTTTGCCCTGGTGTGGAGCACACGGTGGACATCGATGGTCAAACTTTCAGATGATTATGCTTGTCACCAAAAAACCATCCGGCGACTGCGGAGACTTCGCCTGTACTTAAAAGCCTCAAAAAACCTCTTGAAAATGTCCTATTGGATCACGCATCAAGATCGGCAATTTGATTTTTCTTTTGGAATTGTTTTGAGTCCTAGCTAAGGATTATATTTTTTGCCATCTTGTTACAAACTATCAGCAATTATGATAAGTTGGCAAACGCGCATCTCGGGGTATTTAAAGACATAACTTACATGACTACTGGGAGAGCAGGCTGTCAGGTATTTAACTCCAGGGATTAACGCCTCCCAAGTGCTGCCATTTTTGATGCGGGCTCCGCTCAAGATTTATTATATGAGCCTCGTGTCGTATTAGTCTTTGTAATCAAGTCAAGTGACAGATTCGAGTGTATACAGGGCAGTCGGTAACCAACCTCGTGAAACGTTAATCGAAATTCCGAAATGCGTTATCGATTAGGATGGATTACTTATGGGGGATTGTCATGTAGATCATCGTGAAACATAATCCCATGATATTTCAGTAACACTACGATGCGGGCTTTTGAATGCGTCCCTTTACGCCCGCTTGTGGAAATCACATTCATTGCCAAGCGACTACTTAGGTAGCATGTTTTTTTTATACTTACTCCAGGCTACCTTATAAATTCAAATATATTTTACGAAAAACTTGAAAAGTATTATTCTTTTGTACTCATTTAGTAGCCCATCACGTCTTCTCCGAATTTTATACCCGAAAAAGGATAGTTTTCGGTTTAAAATATGTACCCATTAAATAACCTCAACTCTGTTCGTCTTTCCATACCCTTGGCGAAAGTCTATGAGCCCTACATGGTATCTGCTTAATAGTATAGAGGAATGTATTATTTTTCTTCGATTTAAAATGTATCACTTGTAACTTGGAAGCCCTAAACGGAAGTGCAGCAGCAAGTCGGGTTCAGAATTAAACGGGAATGTAAAAACCCCTTTTAAGACCGATTGGTGGGCTTTTTGAGTTTAAATTTTAAGATGTGAGTTGCTACAAACTGAGTAAAATAGTCGGTATTTTTTCGAATGTCTTCCACAAAATATATGTGAATTTATGTAGGTATCTAAAAACAACGTTAAAATCGTACTGCACAAGTACTCACTTTTTATCGAGGGCGGTTTTCGCAGGCGATTGAAAAGAGGTACTATGCTGCACGGTAATCAATATTACAACCCCAATTACAGTGAGTGACCTATCTCATGAAATGTTGGCTGAAATTCTGAAATGCGTTTTCCATTAGGAAGAATTACTTGGTCGCGGTTGTGATACTGATTATCTTAAGGCCTACTCTTATAACATTTTGGACTCGGCAGGATGTCGGCTTTTAAATGCATTTCTTTTCAATCTCCTGTAGAAAGCGTGCTCGGCAAAAAAAATGACTACTTAAGTAGCATGAATTTTTCCCATTGATTCTCGATGGTCTTGGAAATTCAAATATATTTTATAGAAACCACAAACAAAAATGTGTTTTCTTTTAGTCAATCAATAGAGAATCACGTCTTCTTTATATTTTATACTTAAGAAAGGAGTATAATTAGGTTTTAAAAAAAGTTTTTAATTATGAGACTTTTTAAGACCGCGATATGTCCATTCACATAGCGTCGTACCTGGCCGTTTACCACTGCTCCTCATGAAATGTACAACATGATCCGCATCCATCGCGCAATTTTATGGACCCTGTATGATATCTCTTTAATGACATAGAAAAATATGGGATTTTCTTCACGCGGAACGCATGCACCTTGTAGAGTGTAGTCACTAAACGCTAATGCAACGAATGATCAGGCTCCAAATTTTTAGGCAGTTAGAAAACTTTTTTAAAACCTAATTATACTCCTTTCTTAAGTATAAAATATAAAGAAGACGGGATTCTCTATTGACTGACTAAAATAAAGCATATTTTTGTTTGTGTCCAAAATGTTATAAGAGTATGCCTTAAGATAATCAGTATCATAACCGCGACCAAGTAATCCTTCCTAATGGAAAACGCATTTCAGAATTTCAGCCAACATTTCTGTAAGTAACGCTTCCTAATCGAAACGCATTTCAGAGTTTTAGTCAACATCTCATGAGAGTCGTCATTGACTGTGCGCTCGAAACGACTGTTCCAGTCCCTATGGTCTCTGCGCGTAGCACTTCCCAGTTGACATTTGGTTTCTAATGGACCACCAGTTTTCACGAA